TTTACCAAATCAGAAAACAATATTATATGTGAGAACACTCTCTATTAATGATGCCATGTTCAAAGTCTGTTTACTAACATTAAAACCTCTCAACTTGCCGAGGAGACTTAAGAATCTAATCTAATCTAATCTAAAGCGCCGACTTGCCTTCTTACAAACAGCCTCTACATTACTATCAAAATTCAGTTTATTGTCAATAATTGTGCCTAAAAACTTGAAATTTGAGACCTGTTCTATTATTTTTTTCAGTTATGATGACTGGTTCATAAAATCTAGTATCTACTGCTCTTGTTTGACTTCCCAGACATAGTTCTTTTGATTTTCCAATAAAAAGATGTAATGAACCCATCTGTGATATTATTAATATATTCAATATATAAGGAGCTATTCATTTCTACCTGAAAGGAAACCAATGCCAGATCATTGGCGTATTTTATAAGAGCGAGATCCTCATCATATTATTATTGTCACATAGTCAAAAGTTTTGACTGGAAAATTTTGAAAATCTCACTTTTTATAAAATATAATAAAACAATAAATATATAAAATAGATATATTTTGAGGTGATATACAATTATATCTAATTATAGATATGAATAAAAGAGAAGTTTGTTTAATGTAGGTGCTGAGATTTATGGTTCAGTTCAGGATAAAAATCATATTTAGTAAAAAAATGTTTTGAAAATATTGAAATGGAAATCTAAAATGTGACAAAAGAAACACTTAAAAGGTTTATGTCATCATTTACTGGCTATTCACTTGTTTTTAAATCTGTTTGAGATTCATTCTTTTATTGACCATAAAAGAGAATATTCTGAAGAAAACAGGAAACCTGTAACCTGTGACTTCCATAGTATTTGTTTTTCCCACTGTGGAAGTCAATGGTTACAGGTATTCAACTTTCTTTAAAATTTCTTTTTTTTGAGTTCAACACAAGAAAGAAAGTCAGAAAGATTTGGGAATTACTTGAGAATGAGTAAATAATGAGTACATATCAATTTTAAAAGTGTATCTTAAAAAGTCAAAACATCCAAAACCTCAAACTTCTGAAGTTTGAACAAATCTCAAGATTTCGTCACCTTAGAATTATAAGGTTCTATCTGACATTTTTCTCACAATTGAGTGGTACACATATTCTTATTATATGACAGCTCATTTTCATTATGCTTATTTTCATTATGTTTTTTATAAGTTGTTTACATTTTTACAAAACAAAAAAGGTTTTATCTACCAAGTCGAACTCTAGCTTGGCTCTTTAAAGTTCTTTCTGAGACCTATCTGGACCAATCGGGATCAGTTTTCTTTGTCATGTCTTGGTTATTTAGCCAGATTACTCCAGTGACAGCGGGAAAGACCAGAAAGAAAAAAAAAATCTGAGTCAACTAAACAATGCTGCACCACACAAAATTAGGAAGAATTTAAATCCTAAAAATTTAGAAATTTGATATTTAGCCTTGAAGCTTATATGCCCCTTAAATTGAATTTACGGGGCATATAATTCAATAAATATAATTCATGTAAAGCACAGGTCTCAAACTCAATTCCTGGAGGGCCGCAGCCCTGCACAGTTTTGCTCCAACCCTATCAAACACAGCTGATCCAAATTATCCAGGTGTTCAAAAGAGTCATGAACACCTTTAGTAGTTGGATCAGCTGTGTTTAATCAGAGTTGGAGCAAAACTGGACAGAGCTGCGGCCCTCTAGGAGTTGAGTTTGAGACCTGTTATGTAAAGCATATATTCAATAATAATTACCATGTGAATAACATAAAATTAATAGTTGCACAGGGCAAAAATATTTAGCACAGCCTTGTATGCTTAATTTGAATAAGAAAAAATATTCATCCAAAAACAATGAATAAATGTTATACAAAGCATACATCAACATATTGATACAATATTATTTTTTATTATTATATTAAGAAGCAGACTGATAGTATTTCTTAAAAAAAAGTATTGCTTCAATTAATGATCTGCCAGACAGAGCCTTATAACTCCAAGCAGAATTTGCCGTTTGTTTAAATTTAAGAGAATTTTGATAGTTTACATTTAGAGTACATTTAATGTCTCTGTCATGTTAATGAGTGAAGGAGAACTGTTACATACATATTGTTTGCTATATGGAATGCAAAAACTCTGAAGCCCGATATCTCAAAATCATTTAGAACGCAGATAGAACCTTATAATTCCAAGGCAACGATTTTTATTTAAGTGTTAGTGAGATGTTATGGCTGCACTGAGACTTGAATAAAGGGCTCAACCCTGGACAATCGGTGAAGGTTACAGTCACTGAAACTCCCAGAGAGGGATTTGGTTGGATTCTAGAGGTGCGAATGGTAGTTATAGTGAATAAAAAGAGAGATTCAAGGACAACTGGGGCAGTGACCGAATGAAATATTCGTTGAAAGCATAAGAGGAAATGATAGAGGAAGAGTGGGAATGAAAGAATGAGCTGAATTAAAATGTACAATAGTGAGACTGCATGGGAATAAATTAAAAGGCATAAAAGTGTGCAATGAAGCAGATTCAGTGCATGCATAAAATAAAATGTAAACCATTTGTATGTATCCCAAAGCTTACACAAGTGCAGCCTCTTCTGAAAAAAACTAATTTGGATAAATCTGTGCTGTCCAATTTTTGATCTATTTCAAAACTAACCTTTTTATATAAGATTTTGGAGAAAACTGTTTTAACACAACTACAGAGCTTTCTGGAGCTTAACGTTGTTCATTAAGTTTTTCAATCAGGTTTTAAGGCATATCATAGTACTGAGTGTGCACTGCTACGTGTGATGAATGACATTTTGTTATTGAGGGACTCTGGGCACTCTGTGATCCTTATGCTTCTTGACCTTACTTCAGCTTTGACACTATAGACCATGAGATCCTTATTTCCCGTCTTGAGAAATTGGTTGGCATTCAGGGTTCTGCTCTTAAATGGTTTAGATTGTATTGTCAAACTGAAGCTTTTGTGTTAGTGTTGGTTAGACCTTTTCATCTTCCAAACCCCTGACGTGGAGTTGGGCAAGGGTCGATCCTTGGACATATCTTTTTTTTTTTTATATATTTTACATTTCAGATTTATGTCCCTCATAAAAATAATGATAAAAATCTCCTTGACTCCCTAAAGAGAGGTCTAATCAAGGTTAAGACCTGGTTGTCGTTAGTTTTTTAAAATTTCAATGAGGAAAAAACTGAGCTGGTCTGGATTGGGGATCCTGCCCGTCTGGAATTACTAGGTTTTGTTGAGCTATCAGCTTATCAAAACCCTGTCGTTAGAAACCAAGGGTTTCAGTTTGATAGTGATCTGAAATTTAACAAACAAGTAAATCAGTTGTTAAATCCATTTTTTTTCCATTTGCGACTTACCACAAAAGTGGTAATTTCTCTTTTTTAATGACCTTGACAAGGTGATCCATGCTTTAATTTTGGGAAGATGACTATTGCACTGTTGACTATTGCAACTCTTTGTGTGGGTATTAGACAAAATGCTCTGAATAGATTGCAATTATTCCAAAATGTGGCTGCAAGAATTTTGACAGGGACTCGCAAGCATGAGCACATATCCCCAGCTCTTTCCTCTCTGGGATGGCTGCCTGTTAGGTCACAGATTGATTTTAAATAAATAATTTTTGTTTTTAAATCCTTAAATGAGTCTTTAAAAGGTCCTGGTGTAAGCAAAGTGGGGATCGGGCTTTTGCTGTTCTCGCCCCAAAATTCTGGAACAAGCTTCCACCTCACTTTAGACACGCTCTAACTCTATCTGTTTTTAAAAAGCTTCTAAAACTGCATCTGTGTTCTTTAGCATTTGAGCCTTTTTAATGTTGAGGGCTTAGCCTTTTGTTTTAATTGTTATGAATGTGATGTTGAACTTATTTTGATTAGTATTGATTGTGGTTAGCACTTTGGGCAACCCTGTGTTGTAAAAAATGTGCTATATAACTAAACTAAACTAAACTAAACTAAACTAAACTAAACTAAACTAAACTAAACTAAACTAAACTAAACTAAACTAAACTAAAATTCCAAAGCTTAAACAATCGTCATATGCCTCTTTTTCAGTTTGCATTTTGTTCAGTAATGTAATGCTTGCCAATTGTTTACTAAATGTCACTAGACAACATCATACCAATGTTTTTCAGAAACTAGATAGGCTTCTCGGGAAGTCACTGGATGGTGTTTTACTTTAAAAAGGCCAGGCTCCCAATTTTTTTCTATAAAACTCAACAGTCAACTTTATCAAATGAGTGTAGTTAACTCAAAATTGACTGGAATACAGGAATGTACTGTATTTGTTTAGTTATTCTTTATAAAGTGACATCAACATGTACTGGCCTGGCATGTACAGCAAAGACCATGTGAGGATTTGTAAGGATTCATGTGAAAAAGGATTACTTGTCATCTAAACATCTAAAATGCATTATTTCAGTGCAATGTTGTCAAGTAAAAGTACCCTCTGTTACTCCTTCATTCCTAATGAACAAACAGATACACCCAGAGTACAGTACATGTTGATTTAAGTCTTGCATGTAGATACAAGTTCTGTTTACTTAAGCTTATGTGATGAGCTGTAATTACTTTCTAATTAAGCTCTGCTCATTTTAATTAACCAAAAGAATTGTTTGCCTCAAGTTTCAATTTGCAGTCTTCCCAATTTTTAATCACATTTTACTGGATAATTTCGACATTTATTTTAAGAAAGCAGACACAAAATCAACTTGGAGTGTGTAATTCATTTTTAGGAGCATAGTTTAGCATTATTAATTAAATAAATAAATAAATAAAATTTGCACAGTTCACAGAAATCTCAAGTCATTCTTCACCTCAAGATGCATCTCACCATGTTTCAAAGACTTGAGGACAAATGACTCGAATTAGTGCGACGTGACTTGGACCGCATTCAAAACCCTAGCCTGGGCTCGTGTCTGGTTTGTATTGCTCACTTTTATTTGCCAAGACCCTGCTGAGAACTGATGGTGTACAAACTCGTCTCTTATTTTAGGGCCCTGACGGAGCTGTTGAAGCAGCCAGGCGAGGACGGAGGTGTGGACAGAGGCGGAGGACACCACCCTATCGGCTCCAACGGCATCTCCGGCAGGTCAATGCGCACCAACAACGGTGAGTCAGAGCCTCTACTGAGCCAAAACACAGACACTTGCAGGTGGAATCGACAGCAAGGAAAATATCGTGAACGTCACACGTTCAGTGTTAAGGTGAAAAGGAGCCTTGGCGGGTTGTTTGCTGTTCTGTTTTTGTTGCCAGTGCTCTGAGGTGAGCCTTGCAGATTTTGGCTATTTCAAGAGGTATTATGTGACAATTTCAAATAGGCAGGTGGGAATAAAAGACTTTTGTTCAAGCTTAATATGCAGTGAGATTTGTTATTTGACAGTAATTTAGTGGTTCTTTTAAAAACGTTGCTTGTTTGAGCAGAATTACAATGTTACAGTAACTTGATGTCACTTTGGGGTAGAATTATACTCTTGACCAGCCTATGAGTAATATAGAAAATTTTTTTTTGCTTGAAGTTGATTCATCAACTGGTTTTAAGGCAATGGTAAAAGGTATTTTTTACTTTACTATACTACCTGAGTACATTTTACTTTATCAGCTTCATTTTATTATATTTCCATTATGTACTTACTGTAATCGTAACAGGATAATAGTGTATAATGTAGTGAAGGAGCTAAACCTGTTAAACTGGTTTACAATTTAAACTGAACAAATAGTTTGTGAACTAGGCAAATCTGTGCATCTTATTTGTTTTAAGTTATTTCAGCTAGAATAAAAGCAGTTTAATTTAAAAAGAACAACAACATTTTGTTCAATATTATTAGCCCTCTTAAGAGTGTTGTTATACAAGGACTTATTACCCTAACTTGCCTAAATAACCTAGAAGTCCTTTAATGTCACTTTGAGCTGTCTTCATGGCAAAGATAAAAGAAATCAGCTATTATAAATAATTTTTGGAAATGTGTTGAAATAAAATCTTCTTTTTGTTAAACAAAAATTAGGGAAACAAATATACAGGAGTATAAAAATTCAGGAGGGTTAATAATTCTGAATTAATATGGATATTTGTACAAAATACAAATAAATATAAAGAATTTGCATTAAATGCTTCTAATCAGTTTTAAAGTTACTTTTTTTAAAGTGAAAATTGTGTACTTGGTCCAGCACTGTTGTCATTATTTCTAGCTTTTCTTTTAATGAATCAAATTTTGTCCTATGCATATTAAAAGCATATACTTTATTGGAATGTTATCCTAAAAAGCAAAGACAGCCTATAGCAAACCCATCTCAGACTCTACACAGGACAAATCTGTAGAATCTCAAATTAGCTATATTACCCTTTATCCTTGCTTCCTCCAACCTTTGTGTTTTCACAGCTGGTTTCTGGTTCAACAGGCCTCTCCCAGTTCCTACTCCTTTTCGACCCCAATTTAAAGCCCTGTCTTCTTGTTGGCCCTTATAATGTACAGATCTAATGTGTTCATCGCTGTTTTACCACATATAGTTGGCAATCATGATTAGTGTTCATGTTCTCAAACATCTAAACTGGACCCTTCCATACAGTATGTGTCTATTCAAACATACATGAAAGTTTCAACATATGTTGTATACATTTCATGCTTTTCTGGCTGTATATACATAGATGCTTCTACATTGTATCCCCAAGTCCTCTCTCATGCTTTTTTATGACCCATTTGCTTTAACCTACTGTATCACCTGTTTTCAAAGACATATAATGGCAGATTCAAATGGCCCTCCGCTCACCCTATTAAATGTGTCTTTACATAGATTTAAAAAATAAAAATCTTATTTATTGTCAGAAACAGCTCAGCACACAACACCACAGAAGCCTCAACAGACCAGCAGAGGCATTTAAGGCCATCACCTTTCGACCCTGTGAAGGAACTGAAGCGGATTGAGGGAGTAATTAAATTTGCGGATATGAGAGGTCTTACTGCTGCTCCCCTCTCAGCCTTGGAAGAGGAAGTGGCTTAACGAAGCAACTGTGCTAATTAAGGCATAATTAAGAAACTTCAGCCAAGACCTGCTGATCAAGAACACACTGTCCTTCTGTCTGAGAATTAGGGACCCATTTATCTCTCTATCTCACGCTCGCTCTTCATCACAGGTGTGAGTTTTCCTTGGGAATGCGAGAGTATGCACTGTGCCAATGTTTCTGCTGCTGCTTCTTTTATCTTCTGTTTTCTCAGTCCGCCTCTTCAAAGAGAGTTTAATTAAGTGCTCATTAAAGCAGCTTGATCACGCTAAGGGTCACAAGTGTCTAAGAACAATCCATCTGCACACACACACACACACACACACACACGCACGCACGCACACACACAAACATACACAGTGAAGAATCGTGACAGGTAAACCCACGTCACCACAGGACGATAGATGGATGGATGGATTTGAGTGATGGAGGAAGACAGGGATTCTGATCCGTGAAGGTTACAATGATTGGCTGATTAAATTAGCATTGTTTAATTAATTGCTTAATTTTATGATTATAACAATGCATTGACTATTTATTTTGACCTAAGCTGGGATAAAATCTCATTTTGGTTCATTAGTTGCAGTCTGGTAAATTTCAATGAAAAAACAAACAATATAGAAACATGAAATATATAATTGAATAAATAATAGAAAAAAAATACAATAATTATAAGTGTATATAAAGTAATTTAAAATATACAATAAAGTAAGAACATGTATAACATCAAAAAATTTATTTTTAATGCTATTTTTACACTTACAAACAAAAGTGGTATTTTGGTAGCACGGTGGCGCAGTTGGTAGCGCTGTTGCCTCACAGCAAGAAGGTCGCTGGGTCAGTTGGTATTTCTCTGTATAGTTTGCATGTTCTCCCTGTGTTTGCGTGTTTTTTTTCCGGGTGGTCCGGTTTCCTCCACAGTCCAAAGACATAAGCAATAGTTGAACTGGGTAAGCTAAATTGTCTGTGGTGTATGTGTGTGAATGAGGATGTATGGGTGTTTCCCAGTGATGGGTTGCAGCTGAAAGGATATCCGCTGCACAATACATATAATGGATAAGGTGGCCGTTCATTCCGCTGTGGCAACCCCTGATTTATAAAGGGACTAAGCCAAAAAGAAAAGACAATATGCTATTGTCAGATTAAAAAATATAGATAATAATGTTAATGGTTGATGGTAATATTACCAGTTTTGGGTTGCGGCTGAAGGGGCATCCTCTGCATAAAGCATATGCTGAGTTGGCAGTTCATTCCGCTGTGATGACCTCTGATTAATAGAGGGACTAAGCCAAATAGAAAATGAATACACTCTGAGTTGGATGACAAGAGAAGTGACGATCCTCTCTGAGTTTATTAAACAGAGAATGGTCAGGCAGACATCGGTCAAACATGTGCAAACAGTATCATGAGGTAATCCAGAAGCGAAGTCAGCAAAGTAGTGGTGATGTGATATTGTGCACCAAGGCTTAAAAGCATTTATTAAAAATTATACATCTCGCAGTTAAGCAGTGTACGGGAGCTTGATTCGTTCAGCCATAATCACGTGATCAGTGATGATCGAAGTTTCATTTTTGACTCTAACCATGTGACTGTCTCGAATTTTGATTCAAAGATTTAAACACCCTTGTGGGTTAGTAAAGTGTATAGTGAGAGATTAGGTGTTGATACATACTACTGTTTCAAAGCACTGTGCCAGGGCCCAACGCTCCAGTAATTCAACTAAAATGCAATAGTATTTATAGTAAAAAGCTTTTAAACCATACTAAAGTGTATTAGTTTATTATTTACATCTATTTTTTAGAGAAGGCCACTGCATATTGTAGTGTAGTGTGTAATGGAGGCCAGCTGGTGAGTGCAATGGAAAAGACTCACTCTTACAGCCTCCTCCTTAGAGCATTCCAAGCAAGAATCAGCCAGTTCAATCCCCATTCGGAATAAGTAGATGGGTGTAAGACCAGCAGGGATACGATAAACATAAATGCTTTTGAACACCTAGCATTTAACTACAGTCATCTAATTTGTTTATATTACTTATTTTGTATTACTATATGAATGAGTTGATCGGTTGTGAAGATTGCAACACAGTGCTTTTCCACACTTTACCAACAGAGGTTCACATTAAGCTCTGATTTAGAAAGCTTTGAACTTTTCTGCGATACAATTGAGTTGAATGGTTCACTGCTTCAGAAAGCTTAATTTCACCAACACTACAAAGCAGGCGAATGGGCAGGAAAGGCAGCCAAAACAACGGAAACAACAAAACAAGGCAAAGGGTCAAAATATGGCTAGACAAGACAAGCAAATGCTTTATGGTGTTACAATAACAGAAACAAGACTCAGCCACTATGTGTGTATGTGTGCTGCGTTCATAGTCCATCTGATTAGTCCTGAATAGCTTCAGCTGTGTGTGTTTTCAATTAAGGTAAAACTGGGCCAGGTGTGTGAGTGAAGTTCATGATGGGATTTGTAGTGCAGTTGAACGGAAGTGTTCTCCAGCAGTCCAATAGTATCTTGATGCAGCCTTTATGATGCAAGCTGAGATTGCATCACCCAGAGATGCAATGTCAGACACAATCCACTCAAATGACATCACGGTGAGGGGTAGGGTTGGGTGAGCCCATTAAAAAGCATTGGATGCAGCTTAGATTGCACTGCACCATGTCTGCTTCCAGACCCCTCTCCAGCAGTCTGCAAGAGCAACACTGCTGTTGATCATAAGTGTGTATATCTTTGTATGTGTAAATCTTATTCAATAATGTAACAATATACAATAATATCAGATAAAACAAACAACAAAATGATTAAAGATAAAAGTATTAAATGTTACACTACTCTCGTATTTCAAATTAATACAAATTAGAAGTGATTTTTACAGCAAATTCTATCATTTCCCTCAATTTTTGGAGTGTAAAGTGGTTCGTAATCTCTGTTAAAGGAGTTCACCGCCTGAAAAACTTTGGGGGCGAGGAAGAATAATGAGATTTAAAGATTCTTGAAACCAATAGGTGAGAGAACCTGGCAGAGAAAAATAGAAGGAAAATGAGACTGAAATTGAATGAATAAATAGTAAGAGAGAGAGAGAGAGAGAGAGAGAGAGAGAGAGAGAGAGAGA